GTTCTTAAAAGAAGGAAAAAACAAGTAATTGCATTCTCACATTTACTTTTATTGTTTACCAAATAAAAGAAAATATTTTTTTTTACTATTGAAATGACTTAATAGAAAACTTTCTGTTATGCTCAAGTAACCATCATAGATATGAAACCAGACCTGAATATGACTTCTAGCAGTTTATCAAACAAAAACTCATTCCCCAAACCGGAAATTAACTTCTTGAAATATATTTGAGAGTTAGTAAAAAAAAGTTAAATGTTTTTTTCAAGAGAAGCGTATTGTTGGGAAAAAACGATGAATCATTCATTGAATTCTTAAATGTTATTTCCTTGATGAATATCAAATGTGACAAAAGCAAAAACGTTTTATCAGAGTGGTTTTCTTTAAAAAAGAACAAATACATACCGAGGAAAAAAGGTTCTACTGAAAAGTCATGGATATTTAATTGTAATAATAAAATTAAGATGTACTCGCATGGAGGCTGTGTTAACTTTTTATAATTTTTTAAAATTTCATATTTAAAAAAATTATAATAATTCTGTCATTTTTGTGGAATTTGTTATTTACTAAAATGCAATTTTAAAATTAAATTCCAGTGAAACTACTATGTGCTTGTTTTCGAACAAATTAATATTTTATGAGGTATTAAGTTGTTGTATACATTTTAGTATGTAGTTCGTTCATATTAATACGTTGATAGGGGATCGAGGATTTTATGCAGGTCAGAGTTCAAAGAACAATTTATTCTGCCGCGTAACTTAAATCCACTTAGATTACGTAACGGTATATGTTTGGTCATCAAAAGAGTTAACGGGAATTTTCTTGAAGCAACCATTTCGATTGTAAGGTTTGAAGGAAAAATCGTCCTGTTTCCTCGTATTCCACTGTTACCGTCAGAATCTCCAATACCATTCAAAAGGCTTCAAATCCCAATTCGTTTGGCTTTTGCAATTACTATAAATAAATCTCAAAGCCAAACGATAGCTACTTGAGTCTTGAACTTAGAAAATCCCGTTTATAGCATGGACAACTACATAGTGTTACAAATTTTGTGTAAATAGTGTAAATAATTTGTATTTGAGTGTTTAATGCATTTATATTATTCTATGTTATGTTTATTTTATGTTAAAATTGTACCATTCACAAGCAATGCCGCCCCTTACGTTATAATGGCGATTCAATGAGGACTTGGCGAAATCTTGGCGCTAGAGCCAAGTTGGCATCATTTTTGGCACCAAGTTGGTGACTTTGGCTACCATTTTGGCGTCATTGGCAACCATGTTGGCGAGTTCGGAACCCTCTGGAATCTTCTAGAAAGTAGTGGATCTCTCCACTAATGTCACGAGCGGCTATATTTCTGGAAGTTTCTGTCGCGCCTATAAATAAGATGATCGCCGGGACGGCGAGGAGTCCGGATTAAACCAGCGAGTAGTGAGGATTAATTTGACTAGCGATTAGCTTGGTTGTGCTTGTGAATAATCTTTACTTAAGTGTATTTTTTAACACTGATTATATTGTGTTTGATTGCTGTTGAAGGTGTGAACACCTTCGAATATTTGCTCTGTGAATATTGCTGCTGAATCCTGTATTTAAAGGATTGGATTTTCAATAATAAATTCGCATCGCTCTTAAAGAACTGTTTATTTTTTTTTGTGACTGTTTTGCATAAAATCCTTGAACCCTCGGATCTACGTAACAATATATTTTGTATGCTTTCATGTGGTAAAACCACCGAATGGATTTGCGTAAGCAAAAGACAAGTTGCCGACAAATATTTTGCACCGATTAGCGATTAATTATATTAAAAAAATTTTTTTCTTATAATTTAGAATAATAAAAATAATATTAAAAATTGCTAAAAACTAAATTTATTGAGCTCATTCATAAAATTAAATCTTCATATGTAGTTATTAAGAACTTCGTAAATAATTTATGTGCATTATACTTACTCAAATAGAAGATCAATAAAATGCGAAGTTAAAAAAATATGTTGTTTTATATGCTTAATTTTAACTCTCCAAAATTGTAAGCGAAAAATAATTTAACTGCGTTGAATGGGTTAGAATAATATTAAATCAACGTGTTAAAACAAAGCTACAGCAAAGTGGGGCTGGGGCAGCTAGTATATATATATATATTTGTTTTATTTCAGTCCCCTCAGATTCGTGTTAAACGGTTTTCACTACGTATATGTTAGACTTGATCTGTTCAAAAGATTTTAAAGAGTTATTTTTTAACTTCCCAAGAGCTTGATTGGCTTATTTTAGATATGTTTATTGTATTAAATTTGGGAAGGTGATCAATTTTTTTTCGTCTTATAGTATTTTTTTAGAGTTCTGTAAAACTCATAATCAGTGTTACTTTTCATCTTCTTTACCTATTTTAATTGCACATTGTTCTGATTGGGACACTCTCAGAAAGAATATAAAATAAAGCAATACTATTTTTCTCAAAATAAGAAGGAATTATTTATTAATATAACTATATATTACAGATGTAGATTTGAAATTTTTTTTCAGCTTTAGACAGAAGATTCTAAGAGGACTTGAATCCTCAATGAGAATTAAGTTTCCTCCTATTTATGTATTTAAAATATTTAAATTTTTAAAAATATGTTTTAACATATTTTTTTATTTAATTTGTAAAATTTTATACAAAAATTTGACAGATTCGAGTAGAAATCAACGTTTTGTGTGTAAAACTGTAAAATCTTATTCTAACAAATCTTTATTCTTCCTCAGGAAAAATACAACAACATTCCATTATATCTGGAATGTAGACAAGCATTACAGTATATTCGAACATATTAGAAATCATTTATAATTAATATGGAATTATTGATACATATTTGATTGAGTTGTTAAAAATTAGAATACATTTATGGTATCCGAATACGTTCAGAACCGGGATTTTAGAAAAGTGCATAAATGGATAATTTTCAGGATATTTAGTGTCACTTAGATTAGAATATATGTATACAATTCTTTTAAGGACATTGTGACAAAAAAAATATATTTAAATATAATATTTCGGCAAAAAATTAACTTAAAATAACCTTTTTTCAAAATGTTCTCTTTTTGTGAAAAATGCTTCTAAGATAATAGTATTTTGCCTGTATATAGCTCAGACCTCTGTACAGAAGCTCAACTATGATTTTTGAAAAATTCACATTATTTTCAGAGTTACAACCAATTGAAATAATTATTGGCGTTTTTTTCGTAAAATTTCTCCTTTCTGTTGTCGTAAAACATGGATAAACCCACTTCTAAGTTATAAATTTCAAAAATTCTAGTTGAGCCTCTGTACAGAGGTCTGAGCTATATACAAGCAAAATATTATTGTAATAGAAGCATTTTTCACAAAAGGAGAACATTTTGAAAATGAGTCATTCTATGTTCATTAATAATTTTTAATAATATGTTATATGTAATAAATATGTTATAAATAATTTTTTATTGTAATACTATTCTTAAAACAATTTTATGTAGATTTTCTAATCTAAGTGACACTAAATATCATAAATGTTATCCATTTATACGCTTTTGCAAAACCTCGGTTCCGAACGTAGTCGGATACCTTAAGGTATCCGAACACATTCGGAGTACTTTTTAAGAAAGTACAATACTAAAACATTATAAATGCTTTTTTAGTAATCAATACTAATGAATACTAATATTTTCCTAACAATATTTTTGAAAAAATTATCTAAATTTTACAAAAACCACAATTATAAGTGAAATTTTCGTAATATTTTTGAAACACTTCAAAGCAATTAGAGAAAAAAGTAATAAATTTATATTAATAAAGTATTACTAAAACAAATTACATGCATTTATCTACAGAATGTACCAGCATTTTAATGCTTTATTAAAATTTAAAAATTTTAGAGAAGAGATAGTATGTATTATAAGAAATGTGACATTCTTTATAAGACCAAATTATTTAAATAGAATGCCATAACTCAAAAAATATTCATGCAATGGAAAATATTTTTGTACATTCTCTAGAAAATATTATAAATGTCAGGTTAAAAAAGTTTTGTAGAAATGCATTACTAACATTTTGAGTTATTAGATTCGAATGATAGATTTTGCACAATTTAAATGTTCACTTCTGAAAGATTAAATATCCAGTTCCAGTTTTTCTAATTTTATAAAATTGATTGTAACTTGACCTCTAGGTAGCGTAGAAATAAGAAAAATTATGTTTTGTAAAGCCAAAAGATAGCTCTATTCAACAAAATAAAAACAAAAATATGTGTTTTGTCCGAATTTGCTCATTTCAAGGTGTTGGGATACTTTAAACTGCATTTCCATTGCCCTGTATACTGATGATATATACCCTTTATATTTATTTGTGGCTATAAATAAAAAAAGAGAATTAAAAATTCTTAGATGTAATGCCATTTATTGAAGATTTATTATTTTATGATTATCAGAAACAGACTTAGTTTTAAACAAGGTCTTTATTTTATCAAAGTTACACATCATCTGACGCAAGAGGCAGAGAGAGAAAGAACGCCACCGAATAATCTTAAGTGGGTTAAACACTTAAAACACCGATCGCGGCGCCCATAAGTATTCTTGAAAGTTAATGCTGACGTATAGGGCTATTAAATATAACGATCTGGAATTAGACATGTTTATTGGCTAGGCCATATGTTCGGAAGAAATAAATGGGTCATTAGTTTGATATTTGAAGAGGCGAGGAGGTAATGTAAAAGTGAATTACTCGATAGGGAATTTAATTTTTAATCTAATTTAATTATCCTTACATATATATATATATATATCTTGTTCAAATTTTCAATCGTTAATAAAATACTTTTATTCGTCCATTCAAGTTCTAACACATTTTTTTTTTTAAATTTGTAGTTGATGACACTTGATGTTAATACAGTTTTTTAATATATTAACTCATTAATTAAATTAAAATAGGAATAAATAGTGATCAAGAAAAATAATAGTCCAATAGCATATATAGAAAGTAAAATCGTTCGATGTGTCCCTGTAACGCAATGCATAGTGCGTTGGATTTCTAATCCAAAGGTCGTGGATTCGAATCCCATCTGGGATGGCCTAATTTTTGAGAATGTGATTTCTTTTTTACTTTATTATTTTACAAGAATAATTAAATTTAATTAAATGAATAAACAGTAAGAAGCAAACAAAAATAGTCCGAAACCATATATAGAATGGAAAATGAAAAATCGCTTTCTGTTTTATCACTTAATGCTGTGATTCTGTATATGTATAAACATATTTATACTAATTGTAATTATTTAATGAAAAAGAACTAAAATGAAAGTTTTCTTCGATGACATAAGTAGAAATTGACTAAATATTTTTTATATTACTTGTTTTATATTTTATTTTCCACATCCAAATCTTCAAAGCAACCAAACGTACTTTAAAAATAAGGAATAAATCTAGGAATTTTCAAGTATTTACTCGTACATTCTTTTGTCATACCTTACTTGATAATTCACTCAGGCGGTTACTACCTGCCAGTCGAATAATCAGAAATCTGATGAATAAAAACATGAAATCAATTCATCTCGCAGTTTAGAAATAACATCATTTGACCCAGACGGAAATTCGAATCAAAAACTTTTTTTTCCTTCATTATACATTGGAGTTTAGTTTTTCCAAATGGATCGATGTCATTATTTTTTCTTGAGCATACAGGATGCGGCGAAAGGAAAAATGTAAAACATATATATATTTTACTTTTTTGCTTTTTTTTTCTGTCGTATTTACGTACCGGAAACGGATTATAGCTCGTTTTGCTAAAAAGCTTCGAAGTTGGGAAAGTTTAAAGAAGTTTAAATGTTTCGATCAAGATAAACAGAAATTTCATAATATTTTGTGTAAGTTATGAAATTTAGACATGTATGAAATCTCTTTGAAGCATATACATTCATTTTACGGTAACGCAATACTTAAATATGTATATTTTAGTTCTTAAATATAAATTTCAAGAGATAAATTTTACAACTAAATTTTGTGGAACTTTAAGACTTATTTGCATCTCACGTTCGAAAATAAGTATATCTCTTTTTTTAAAAAAGCAAAATATGAAATTTGAAAATAAAACAATGTTATGAAGAAGAAACTTAAAAATTTGCAAGCAAAATTACACATTCAATAAACTTATTCATAACATAAATTCTTTAAATGTTTGTTATTCAAAAAGTAACTAATTAAATTTTTTTTTACTATATAAAGCATACTATGTTTACAAAAATAATACAATTAAACATAAATTTAAAAAAAAATAATACAAATAAACATATGTTTACACAAAAATAATACAGTTAAACATATATTTACAAGTCATACAAATCCTTCTACAAAAACGTTCATCAGTTTTTAAAAGTAGTTACTACATCAAATTTTATTTTTAATACTAAAATGTATTTAATATACAAACCTTCAAATTAAAGTTATTTTTTTAGTAATAAAAAACCAGATATCTCTTAAAATAGACTATAATAAATGTATTCGCATTCTTTCCCTGATGTTCATGTAGTAATTTATTCAATCCATTCTAAATATAAAAAATGCCTTTATATCATATTTTTCTCATAAATAAGGTTTTAGCGAAAGAAGTGATTCAACAGGAAATTATAAGAAAAATTTCAAGTAACTTTCCAAGAATCAAATATTTATTTCGTTGCAGTCTATTGCATATTGAAATATGATACAATTCACTTTGTGATAGAAAGGCAGAAAAGGAAATATTATTACTAAGACACTTTGATTCGTTGAAAAATGTATGTATCGTTGCAAATGTGTGCATTGAAAATGTATATTTCTTAAGTGTGATAACGCTGGCTAAAAACTACTTAGTGAGGAACAGTTTTTTTTACATTAAAGGATAATACACTTAAGAAAACTTTTAAGAGAATTTTCTTTTCATAATGCACCTCAAAATGCATCTTCGCCCACATACTCAATCTATTTAACTTCCCAAATGAAACATTTTAAATTCAATCATATTCCACATCTTTCTTACACAAATAGTGATGCTTCAAGCCTTTCTGAATTTCTCTCAAGTAAAAAAAAGCAAAAAATAACTATATCTTACTAAAAGTCTTTTTCTGAAAGAAAACTAAGAAATGCATTTGAAAAAAAAAGGAAAATAGATGCTTTTTAAGAAGTATATGAAAACTACTAAGAAATTAAATACAATATGCATCGTGTATTGTTAATACATGAGTTGTTGTGGCTAATGCCACCTGTCTGACGTAGTCAGAACGAGGCCCTCAAAATTCATCGTGGCATTATTCATGCATCGTCGCTTATTTCATGCAATTTTATTAGTCTCAATTTTATTATTTTTACTAGATAAATCATGTTTATTGAATGATGTTTGACATTAAAAACAACTTTTTTTCACGAAAAGATGTGCTAGATTCTGATTTTTGTGGAAAAGGGGTATTTAATTAATAATCGTAAGATATAAGTTATAAAAAAGTTGAAATCAAAATTTTTTATTTCAAGTAATATAAGTCGTGGTCTTTGGAACACGCTGCAACATATTATTTATTTGAATAACATTTTTGGCAAGTTCTCCTTAATTTCACCTGTGTATTTTTTGTGAAGAATTTTGAAAAATTTCAGTTTTGCTTTAGTCTGTAGTCAATCAAATATATGTTTGAGAAAAATACAGCCATGTGTTTTTCAAAAACTTAAATTTAAAAAAAAAAGTTAAATCACCTATAAAGTGAACTGATGAACCAATTACAATGACTAGTTATTAATCCAATGAAGTGATTCAGTTGAAAGAACCAAGAAAAATGTTCATTATCATGTCTAATTTACCACAGAATTTAATATCATTGATGAGATTCGTTGATATTTAATAATTTATAATCGATACAAATTACATTATTCTAATTGCCTTTATAAACTATTTTATTTTTTACCTAGAGCGTTCACGGTTGTTAATGTATTTCTTATATCTAAGAGAAAAAGATATTTTAAATTTTTTTCGGCTTATCAAGTTTCAAACAAATGTATAAATTCTATAGATATTTGGAAACAAAGTTTGCACAATATGTAAAGTTAAAAGTTTAAGCTTAATATAACATTTTTGAAGGTTTATGGTTATGATTAAAAAAATTATTTTACAAATAGAAATCAAAATGTGAATATGCGTACCCATTTCATTTCCTGGGCATCAAGATTAGATATTCAAAATATAATAGTATATTTATTTGTTTTCTATCATATTTAATACACATATTTATTTAAAGGTGAAACGTTCAATATTCTGTTCAATATGTAACTATTAATCTAATTACTTAATTGCTTAATTACATCTTGAATCCTATTTTTCGGGGATAAGCAAAGATAAACATGAAGCTAACTCACTAGGAATATCCAATAAACATTTTAAACCGTGATAATACAAATTTACAGCTATATATTCCAGAAATATCAAATTATTTACTTTTGTGTATGAATTTCACGTGATGCAATACAAACAGAGAAGAGTTTGTTAATTGTAAAAATTTAATACATCACTTTGAAAGCGATGAAAGCTCTATCTAGAAAATTTACTATATAGATTTGTAGTTCAATATGTAATTAATTTAATAAGCATTTTCAAAATGCAAGGATTTAGTATTTAACTAGTTAAGCATTTTAAAGATGAAGTGTACTGTAGCAAATAAGTTATAAATATATCCAAAATATCCAATCCAATTTGTCGTCTTAATAAAATGGTAGAAAATTGAAATGCCATTTTACGAGCCTTAAATGCGTTAAATTTTGTGTAAATCTTAGACATTACCAGAATGAAAACACCAGAAATGTAGCTGCTGATAAATTGCTAATTGAGAAAACAGTAATACCCCGACTTTTTCGATTTTCAAAACAGGTCGATTCGTCTTTTGTTTGAGCACTGCACAACCCAATTTCTCACTCTCCGCTTCCTGTTTAGCTAACGTACATATTACGACGTATTGTGAGGAATTGACGCCTAGCCATAATAATTTATCTTGTGCTATTTATTTCTATTCAGTCTTTTATACCTACTCCCACCTGAGTGATGGCTATGTCATTCAAACGAAGTAGAGTCCCTGGGTCTAGAAACGAAGTCTTTAGACCGAGTTCAATCAGATAGAAAAGCAGTGTGTTGGTAATTTGACAGAAGGCATCAGTTTAATTGAAAAAGGCTTACACACACACACACAAACTTAGAAAATATAGACTTAAACGAAGAGCATATTTTTTTCAACAAAACAATCAACAAAAGAATTATTAGCATGCTATGGGGAAATTTTGCGGCATAAACGAAGAATCTTTGAGCCGGCTAACTACTTGTTAGATTTTATGGAACCTTCTCATTCAAGATAACTTCGGTTTGCGATTTTGTATTTGTGTTATCCAATATTTTATTAAGATATCCGACTACCCTAAAATCATGATTTTTTTTCAAAATGTGACAAATTGTTTTATGATTTTATTTTATAGGCCATCTTATTAGCTTAATAACAATACCAAGATTTTTATTTTCCCTCCACTAGAACAAAAACTACAAGCGTTTTAGTAAAAGCAGATGCCATAACACAAGATGTCAAGATGTCAAACATTAAAATGCGTTTTACTCGAAATGTGTTTTTTTCGAAAAACTCAAACGGGGACAGCGATTGCTCAAAAAGTTTTGAAAATAATTGGCTGAAAATTTTTTGCTTATGTTCTGCATAACAGTGGAAGTGTTTCGATCATCAGATTTATCAATAACTGTTTTATTTCAAAATTTGCAGCCCCTTATGTGAATATATTCAATGTTTTTTTTTATGCAATTTCGTATAATTTCTAAGATAAAGTGCTCTAGTTTTTGCAAAAATTAAAATATATCTTATTCTGAAGGTCACTTTAAACAGGAATAACAAAGTAACACATCAAAATTGAAAAATTGAGAATTTGTTTATAAAATCTTAGTACAGAGCGGGCCCCGTTTATGCAAATTTTTGTACATTTTTACTATTTCTTTCCCATTTTAATAATAATAATTTTTTTTTCTTTTATCAATTTTAGGATTTTTCCTTAAAATATCTAAATAAA